CAATAAAAGTGAACTGCAGAAAATAGCTTACTTGGTTGACATCTTTGCCATCTTGAATGAGTTAAATTTATCACTGCAAGGACCAAATGCAACATGCCTCGATTTGTCTGAAAAGATCCGATCATTCCAAATGAAACTTCAGCTTTAGCAAAAAAATACTGAATGAAAATAAAATTTACATGTTACCTACCTTATCTGCTTTCTTTGAGGAACATGACATTGAACCAGACAAAAGGATTATGATGGTAATTTCTGTGAAAGAGCACTTGCACATGCTTGCAGACGAAATTTCATCGTACTTTCCGAATCTACCTGACACCCCATTTGCACTTGCCAGAAGCCCATTCAAAGTTGAAGATGTTCCTGAGACAGCACAAGAGGAGTTCATTGAACTTATTAACAGTGATGCAGCAAGAACTGATTTCTTTACAATGCCAGTTACAAAATTCTGGATCAAGTGTTTGCAGTCATATCCTGTTCTGTCTGAGACTGTGTTGCGCCTTCTTCCATTTCCAACAACATGTCTTTGTGAAACAGAGTTTTCCAGCTTTTTGGTTATCAAGTCAAAATACAGAAGTAGACTTGTTGTGGAAGATGATCTTCATTGTGCTCTTGCAAAGACTGCCCCAAGAATTTCTGATCTGGTGAGAAAGAAGCAATCTCAACCCTCGTACTGATGTTGCCTTTTTACGCATACTGGTGCAAAAATGTAGCAATGTAGTTTACTGTTGTTATATTAAGATTGTTACCCATGCTACACCATGCTTCAAGACAAAATTTCATTTATTTTTAATTAGAAATAAATATTTCACAATATATAATTACATATTGTTTTTGTGATTATCACTATGCTTTAATTCTGTTCAATTTGTAACAATAAAAATACATCCTGTATATCAGATATTTACATTACGATTCATAACAGTAGCAAAATTACAGTTATGAAGTAGCAACAAAAATAATTTTATGGTTAAGGGTCACCACAACATGAGGAACTGTATTAAAGGGTCGTGGCATTAGGAAGGTTGAGAACCACTGCTCTAAAAGGTCAGAGCCAGCGGGAGATCACACCCACAACACAAGGCCAATGTAGAGCAAAATGGCTTTATTGCATGCATCTGGGTGCAAGCAGGCTGAGCTGAGAAGGGTTCAGCCTCGAATTAGGGTTTGGGGTGTTGCTTATATATCCTACTTTTAGTTTCCAGCAGTTCCTACTGATGTACTTTATCTGGAGCATTGTCCACCTTGCAGTAGGGCTGGTCTGGTATCATTAGGCATCTGCTGGGTTATCCATTGCCTTGCAGACAATCCAGATAAACCTTATCATACTCAACAAAAGGCTGAGCCAAGGTCTTGCAAGCAACACAATTTCCACAGTTTCCGCCTTTTGCAAACTGTTACCTTTACCCTTTAAAACATTACTAACCCTTTCACCCTCCCACCCTGCCCAGTCTTTTTTTTTTTTTTAATCTTCACCCAAGGACATTTTTAAATTTTTTGTTCAGATAGAGTGGGAGGGAGAGAGAGAGAAACATTGATGTGAAAGGGACACATCGAATGGCTGCCACCCACACAACCCAACCAGGGCCTGGGACAAACTGCAACCAAGATATGTGCCCTTAGCAGGAACCGAACCCGGGTCTCTCTGGATCGCACCTGCCCAGTCTTTTTTGCTTTTTATGGAGGCTTCATGACAAAGGCATGGTTGATTAAATCATTGTCCATTGGTGACTGATCTCAATCTCTAGCCCATTTGCCCTCCCTAGAGATCAGGCTGGTGGGACTGAAAGTTCTAACCCTCCACTCGCATGGTGGGTTTGGCTCTCTGAGTAGTGAGCTGTTTCACTTGGGCTAAACAGGTATCTCAGCCTCAATTTCCTCATTCACAAAATGGGAAAATAACTATGTTTACAGTACCCATGATTATCTTTTCATTTCCACTTGTGCACATTGTGGGCAGAGGCAGTGCTGCTTATAGCAGCGGTTCTCAGAGTGTGGTCTGGAGATCCCCGAGACCCTGTCTAGGAACCTGTGAGGGTGCCTTTTTTCTACTGCATATCTGTATGAATCTGGGTTTTCTTTATATATTTGAATCAAAAACATCACAACAGATTGAATGCAGAAACAGATGTGAGACTCCAGCTGTCTTCTACTAAGCACACATTAAAATGTTTGCAAAAATGTAAAACAATGTCACTTTCCTCACTAATTCTTTTGGGAAAATATAAATTTGAAAATAAAAATGCATTAACATGTAATGACATTTTATTAATTAAAGAATATTTTTTTAACTCTCAGTTTTAATTTTAATACAGCAATTATCAGTGGGTATAATCCACACAAACAAAAGGTCTTTGAGATACTTAAAACATTTTAAGAATGTAAATTTTGAGACCAAACAGTATTCTTTCCTGGAGGAAAGAATAAGGTTCCAGACCTAGATTTTTCAGGTACCTCCTGGTCCTAACCCTCCCCTGTGCTTCAATTTTATTCTTTTATTAAATGATTTTACAGAGAGGGGAAGGGAGAGAGCGAAACATGGATTTGTTGTTCCATTTATTTATGCATTCATTGGTTGCCCTGATGGGGGATGGAATCTGAAACCTTGGGGTGTCAGGAGGATGTTCTAACCAACTGAGCTACCCCATCAGGGCTTCTGTGCTTCAGTTTCTTTTTTTTTTTTTTTATAATGAATTTTTATTTATTTTTTTGTTACAGATATTTTACCTTTTTACCCCACTGGCACCCCCCCCCCCACCCTGTCCCCGGCTTAGTTGTCCATGTCCATTGGTCATGCATACATGCATATAAGTTCTGTGGTTTATCTCTTCCCACCCTCCCTGCCCCCCATCCCCTCTTCTGAGGGATGTCAGTCTGTGCCCTACTTCCATGTGTCTGGGTCTACTGTATTCCTCAGACTGTTATGTTCATTATATTCCGTATATAAGTGAGATCATGTGGTATTTGTCTTTTTCTGCTTGGCTTCTTTCACTTAGGATAATACTTTCCAGGTCCCTCCATGTCGTCTCAAAGGATAAGAGATCTTTCTTTCTTACCGCTGCACAGTACTCCATTGTGTATATGTACCACAGCTTTTTTATCCATTCGTCTACTGGTGGACACTTGGGCTGTTTCCAGATCTTAGCTATTGTAAATAGTGCTGCTATGAACATGGGGGTACATATATTCTTCCTGATTGGTGTTTCAGGCTTCTTAGGGTATATTCCCAGCAGTGGGATCACTGGGTCAAATGGAAGTTCAATTTTTAATTTTTTGAGGTAGCACCATATTGTTTTCCATAGCGGCTGCACCAGTCTGCATTCCCACCAGCAGTGTATTAGAGTCCCCTTTTCTCCACACCCTTGCCAACACTTGTTGTTTGATGATTTGTTGATGGCGGCCATTCTGACAGGTGTGAGGTGATACCTCATTGTTGTTTTAATTTGCATCTCTCTGATGATTAGTGATGTTGAACATTTCTTCATATGTCTCTTGGCCATTTGTATGTCCTGTTTGGAGAGCTGTCTATTCAGCTCCTCTGCCCATTTTTTAATTGGGTTCTTTGTCTTCCTTTTGTGGAGTTGTATGAGCACTCTATATATATTGGAAATTAACCCCTTATCTGATACATCATTGGCAATGATGTTCTCCCATACAGTGGGTTGCCTTTCCATTTTGATGATTGTTTCTTTTGCTGTGCAGAAGCTTTTGAGTTTGATGTAGTCCCATGTGTTCATTTTCTCTTTTATTTCTGTTGCCTTAGGTGATGTATCTGTGAAAATTCTGCTCCGTATGATGTCCGAAATTTTGTTGCCTACATTTTCTTCTAGAATTTTTATGGATTCACGGGTCACATTTAAGTCTTTTATCCATTTTGAGTTTATTTTTGTGTATGGTGTAAGTTGATGGTCTAGTTTCAGTTTTTTGCATGTAGATGTCCAATTTTCCCAACACCATTTATTAAAGAGGCTGTCTTTACTCCACTGTATGCTCTTGCCACCTTTGTCAAATATTAATTGAGCGTATTGCCTTGGGTCCATTTCTGGGTTTTCAGTTCTGTTCCACTGGTCTATATGCCTGTTCTTGTGCCAGTACCAGGCTGTTTTGGTTACAGTCGCTTTGTAGTATAACCTGATATCTGGTATTGTGATCCCACCTACTTTGTTCTTCTTTTTCAAGATTGCTGTGGCTATTCGGGGTCTGTGCTTCAGTTTCTTTATCCTAACTTAATACTCATTCTTGTGACAAGTGTAGTTATTAATCATTTTTTCTTAATGTTTATTTATTGCATTATGTGTGTATATAGACTGTCTCTAGAAGGACATGCAATAAACTGGTACTAGTGGTTCCCTATGGAACGGGGAATTGGGAAACTGGGAGACCGTAACACAGTGACACCGTAAATCTTTCTGCTCTGATTTGTTTTTTAACACATCATGCACGCATTGCCTAAACTTATCATTAAGCAATTAAAAGTAAAACTACACTTTTGTTTAGATGGTTAGGAAGAAGAAGTCGGCTTAAGTAAAGTGCTGACTGACAAGACAAACCAACCAGTCAAGTTTTCCGCGCCTACCTCGCGGGGCTCACTACCACTTCGCGCAGGTCCCATCCCGCGCCTGTCGGCCCGGGGGAGTGTTCCTTCCCGCCCACGGCCCCGCCCCTCGCCCCGCCCCGCCCACGTACGTCACTTCCAGTAGACCCGCTTTTCCGAACTCCTTCTGGCTCCCGCCTTCGCCCGCTTCCGGTCGTCGTCGTCGCCGCTGCTGCCGCTGCTCCTGCTGCTGAGGCTGCTGGCGGAGGCCGGAGGATCGGGCGGCGGCGGCGGCGGCGGCGGCTGAGAGGGCGGCGGCGGGAGCGGAGCGGGACCAGCGAGCGAGAGGAAGCCTGAGGGGAACGAGCGGAGCGTGCTCAGCCCCGCCCGTCCTTCCGCGCGCCAGAGCAGCCAGAACAGCCCGGGCCCGCCGCCGCCGCCGCCGCCGCCGCCTCCCCCCGCTCTCCCGCCGGACAAAGCCCGAGAGCCCGCGCCCAGAGCCATGTCCTCGTCCGCCGGTAGCGGCCACCAGCCCAGCCAGAGCCGTGCCATCCCCACCCGCACCGTGCCCATCAGCGACGCCGCGCAGCTACCTCATGACTATTGCACCACGCCCGGGGGGACGCTCTTCTCCACCACACCGGGAGGTGAGCGCCCGCCGCGGCCCCGGCACCGTGCGCCCCACAGCCCCGGAGCCTGCTGCCAGCTGCCCCCGCCGTGCCCCCCTAGCCTCCCGCCGCGGCCCTTTAACTCTGGGCGTGTCCACGCTGGGCCGCTCGCCGGGCCAGCTCCCCCGACCCGGCCGGCCAGCTCCACGAGCCCCGGGGGCTGCTTTCGGAGCCTTAACTTGGCACTCGCTCCTGCCCTCCTGCCCGCTGCTCGGTCGCGCGCGTCCGCCCTGGAAACGTGGCTCTCCTGTCGCAAAAACAGCCCGTTCCCGCTTCGTGGCAGGTTTATGCACCCGACCTAGTTTTCCCCCCTTCCCCGCCGCCTCCCGGGCAAATTCGTCTGCACTTGGCCTTGCACTCACTCTGCCTCTTGCATGTTATGTATTTGGGCGTATTAACGCTTGATTTTGGAGCTGTTTCCTAGGCCTTTTTAGAGAAAAAGGAAGTTGGGGAGAGCAGTTCGCTCTTGGGACCCTGCGATGACTTGTTTTGCTGCTTTTAGCACCAGGAGTAGGCTGGAATGCGGAGTTTGCAGCCTCGCCCAGCGTTCTCCAGTTTTGACAGCATTGTTTACTTTTGCAGACGAGGTCCCACGAGTGGGGGTGCCCCCAGGCTGGAGGACAGGGTGAGGATAAAGTAATGCTCGAGTCACAGCCGAGGGAAAGGAGCTGGGGGTGCTAGGGCGCTGGCAGCCGTAAGGGCGGGGTTTGGGCCGCGACGCGTTTGGAGATAGATGGAAGAGGCCATTATGGGGAGGGCCGCCGAGTCGGCGGGATTGCTGGATTTTGAGGAAGGGGCAGTGCAGAGGGAGGTTTCTGGGCATTGCTTTCAAAGAAGGGCCAGGAACTGTTTACAAGGAAGAACACTGGGGTAGAGGTGAAAGCGATGAATTGGTCACGGGAAAAGGGAGGTCAAAGGTTGTGTGTCCCCTGACTGGGCTGTTTTCCAAAGGGAGGAGATTGGAAAGCGATCTTGAGGGACCTTATTGAAGGGAAGGGTGCTTTGTTTTCCACTTCGGAGCTTTGCCTTCTTTTGGTGATGGGGTGCTCTGTCACTAGAGGGTGGACTGTGCTGGCAGCCCCGTGGGGTGCCCTGTCACTAGAGGGTGGACTGTGCTGGCAGCCCCGTGGGGTGCCCTGTCACTAGAGGGTGGACTGTGCTGGCAGCCCCGTGGGGTGCTCTGTCACTAGAGGGGTGGGACTGTGCTGGCAGCCCCGGCAGTCTCCAAGATTGCTAGATGGTTCCTGTAGGCTGGGCTCACCAGTGTACTACAGCCAATCCTGCTCATTTAGGCCTTGGCGATCCTTGAATCTGTGCACAATAGAAGGGACGTTAGAGTAAGAAGACCTCCTTGCCAACGAGGGATAAAAATCTAGGAGAGAGCTCTCCTGCCAGGCCACTCTGGGGGAGGGGTGGCTGCCGCGGAAGACTGTAAAATGACCTAGGCCCGAGAAGTTCATAATATGTATGGAGAGCTCGGTTTCAGGAAGGTTGAACTGCAAAACAGTGGAGTTTCTTGGTGAGGTGCTTACCTGATTGGAGAAATCTCCCTCCTGACCTGGTTTATTTAAGGCCAGCCCCTGAGCATGTTGAGACCTTGCTTTTTAATCCTGAAAGATTTTGGCAGACCAAAATCTGCTCCAGATAGTGTTGTCTTGAACTGACAGCTTTTTTTTTTTTTTTTTTTTTTTTTTATCCTCATCCGAGGACATTTTTCCATTTTTTGTTCAGGTAGAGTAGGAGGGGGAGAGAGGAACAGAGAGAGAGAGAAACATCGACGTGAAGGGACACATCGTGTGGCTGCCACCCGCACGACCAACCAGGGCCGGGGACAAACTGCAACCGAGGTACATGCCCTTAGCGGGAACCGAACCCGGGTCTCTCGGGACCGCAGGCTGATGCTCTAACCGCCGAGCCAAACTGGCCAGGGCGAACTGACAGCTTTTAAGGAATGGATATTATTTTCTGAGGTGATGGAGAGGAATTTATAACTTAAAGAATTCTTTGTGCTCAGTAAATACCTCTGCTTCTAGCAGTTCAGAAGATGTGTCATAGTAATAATTGCAACTCAGCTCTATTGTTTGGGGGAAGGAATGAAAATTTTAGCTATATTGCAGCGATTTTCAACCTTTTAAATCTCATGGCACACATAAACAAATTACAACAATTCTGCGGCACACCAAAAACTATTTTTTGCAGATCTGACAAAAAAAAAAAAGATATAATTTTGATTCATTCACACTGGGCAGCTATTGTTGTGTTAGCTGTTGTCATTTTTTAAAATTTGACAATCTAAGGGAAAAGAGGTCAGTGCCCATGACTAAATAGTCAGGTATTCCATGTTTTAAAAATTGTGGCATACCAGTTGAAAAATCACTGCTATAAAATAATCATTATTGCCCAAAGGGAAGAGACACATGGAGGGCACCCTTTTGGTATATTTCAAAGAGCCAAGCTACCATGCTTTTAAAATAAGGGCATAGTCTTTAAGCTTTGCTTTAAAGATAGAATCCAGTCTAGTAGTCTGGATTAGTTCCTAAAATGCTTGGAAAGATTCTGCCAGAAATACTGATTCATTTACCTAACACAGAGTCACCACTGCTTTCTCAAATATCATTTAACCTGTCTCCAGATAGTTTCTACACACACAGTTTTGTTTCCGATTTAAATACTTGTCTTGCTAGCTCATCTCTTATATTAAGTCTGTATTTATTGGTAGAACACATTGTGATCTTTGGATTTTTAACATGAAGATTTACGATTGGATTTAATCACTATTTTATACCAGTTAACACAGTGCTGTTTAGATGTTTAATACTTATTAATTTCCCCCTTTGGAAATTTTCTGCCTTAATGGTTTGTTCATTTCTCTTGTTACATTCCTCTCTCTCCCCCTTATGTAATTTTATTTCCTGGAACCAGGATAAGATAGTTTGTTGTTATTTGGTCTCCTCCAGACACCTAAATTAATGTAGTTGGGTATCTTAAGTGAGTTTTGTGGGCCCAGTGCAGTGCTTTGCACAAAAGAGGATTACAGACAAAAGTAGGAAATGCAGTCCTTGCTCTGAATGGTCTTAAAGTTATTTTTTTAATCCTCACCCGAGGATATGTTTTATTGATTTTAGAGAGAGGAAGGGAGAAAGAGAGAGAGAAACAGCGATGTTTTACATCGATTGGCTGCCTTCCGTACACATCCCGACTGGTATTGAGCCTGTAATTTGGGTATGTGTCCTAAGGGGAATCAAACCCATGACCTTTCAATGCACAGGACACTGCTCCAACCAACTGAGCCACACCAGCCAGGGCTGAATGGTTTTAAAATCTTGATAAGTATTGAGGATGGATAAGATTTTTAGTTCTAGAACAAAAAACTTATATAGGGTTAAGTGCTAATTTATATAATTCAGACTTGAAAACATTTGGAAAAATTAAAGTCATTAGTCTTGTATTGGAAGTCTCTATTTACTGGGAAGGAGGGGGATTAGCATTTCCTGTTTCAGACTTGTATTATCATACACATATCAGAGCATTACAGAATAATGGTTGATGTGCTGAATGCCCTAAATGATCAGACTGGGCAGGGCGTTAACAATATAGTGAACTTAATGATCGCTTCCCTCTTAAGTCCTTTATTCATTGGGGATCAGAAGATACAGCCTATTCTTGAAAATATTTCTCAAAATTGCCTTCCTTTGGTTTGAGAAGTAAGAGGTGGATGAAAACACACTTGATGCAACCTCTTAGATTTCTCATATTGCTTTTGTCATTGTAAGGGAAGAGGAAAATTTTTGTTGAATAAATTCAAGGCATTTTACTTTATTTTGGTTTTTTTGAGAAGCTCCTTCTAGCCTCATTGGAAGGTAAAATTAGTTAGCTTCACTTTCACAACACTCTGGTTACCTGAGAGGAACTGAGGCCCTGAGAAATTAAGTAACTTGTTAGTGAGTGTCTTACTGCTAAGTAGCCTCAAATTTAGTGTCCTGTGCCTATCCTAGTTTGCTCCTCCACTATCATAAGATGCTTATTTTACAGAGAAAGGAAGTTTTCAGGCATTTAAAGACACTTTTCTACCTCTAGAATGCTAGCTAATGTGATTATTTCTGCTACCTTATTCCTTTTGTAAATTCTGAACTGTCTCCTTTAGGGAGACTGTGCTCTGGGGAATGAGCAGAAATATAGACATACATCTCTTTTAGTCTTTCTTTCTGCCCCCCCTCCCCCCCCCAACAGCCTCACCAACTGTGGAAAAGTATGCTGTTGCCATAACAAGAGCACCAGAGGGGAACTAACTATGATGGTGTGAAATCTTGTTCATGCCTTTACTCTTTCTCTCTGCCAGCCTGCGAGTTGCTGTGATTGGTTCACTGGGCCAGAATTACCTGAAGGCCATTGGAAGGGTCTATAAATAAAAGAGAAGGCAAGAAGAAAGGAAAAAAATCTGCTTGGTTTATTAATAAAATAAGAGTACTTTGGGAGAGTCCTGAGTTTTCATCTGGTTTCTTAGGAGAAATGAATAGAGCTTTGTGTATAGATATGGAGAAGGAAGGTCAGTTTCTGACCATCGTAAATTTCTAATTCAGTGACCTTGGGCTGAATTTATTTTGGCCAAAAACTTCTGAGCAAACAAATGTACTGTTTGGCTCTCTAGCTTTAGTTAATTAACCAAAGGGCTTCATTATTTCATGTGAAAAGTGCATGAAAAACATAGTGAAAGGTGTTCAGACATTTTGCCTTGTGTTCAAGGAAGATGGCATTTACTTAATTTAAGAGTAACGTGTTGTCACTCCATGGGAGAGTCAGCTTTAGTCTGATATGAGACTAAAGCTGACTCTCCCATGGAGTGACACTGCCAAAGTATGTATTAAAGAAGTTGTACTTCATTTTTTATGTTGGGTGCATGTTTGTTGATGAGAATCTGAATTCTGAGCCTGGTCCGACGCAGCCTGACAAGGGACTACAGAGTTCTTATAAGTAGGTTC